CCCTCCCCTCCTGCCGTGGGGTGGACTGCCACAGTGACAGCTGCCTCCCTCTGCTGCACGGACGTCCGCTCCTGCTCGCAGCTGCCGCCGAGTCGGCCCTCGCACACGGTGGGACAGCACGCTGCTGGTCCGGCGCCATCCCCACGATGGGGTGTGCACCAAACCCTGGGCTCCTCACGGGTTTCGGGGGCTCATTTGCACGAGTTGGTCCCCAGGCCTTTCTTCCTAGGCTCTCAGTCTGGAGGCGGCACTCAAAGCTGTCCCTGTGGGAGCCCGGCCGGTCTGGGCATCGCCGTGGGGGCAGCTCCCCCTCAGCCCCATGTTTTTGAGGGGTGAGCGCCTGCACTGCTGTTCCCCACAGGCTCTTTCCCAGTTCCCTGAGCTCAGGCCTTTCGTCCACTCAATTCATCACCATTTAATTTGGGGGTATTCCTGTCTCCATGCTTGTTCTGTAAGGCACGTGGCCTGTCTCCTACCTACTAAGACGTTTTCCTCTCCAGATCGTCCTCCGTTTTCTCTCTTCGTTTATTATATACGGTGCTCTTAACATCACCTCTCATCGCTCCCGCCCTGCAACACCCGTCCCCCTCCCTGGGGCCCCAGTGCCATTGATACGTAGCTTACGGAGCCCGCACCGTGCTGGAAGCACAGGTACACACATGCACTGCAGACCGGGCTTTGCGGCCAACCCCGTGACATGCTCCAAGCGGACCGTGCCCCTCGAGACGCTCCCGCCAGCTGCTGTCCCTGTGTGGACAGAGTGGAAGTGTGCACAACTCTGACCTTTCAGGAGGTCTCCCAGCCATTGTTTCCAGGACCCCAAGTGGGTTCGCACAACCCCCTGCAGTCAGTAGCCAAGTGCTTTGTGCTCATACCGCCCAGGGCCCCGTGGGCTGCTCTGGTGGACCCACGTCTGCAGCGGTTGGGCCTGGAGCTGGAAAGGCCGGCACGGTCAAAGGGAAAGCTTTCTCTGTGTCTTGGCAGCTGCTGCTTCAAGGCTGTCGGTGTGGGTGCGTGGGGTCGGGAGGGCGCTGGGGAGTGCGGCTTGCTGGTGACACGCCTGCTCTTCTCCCTGCAGGTGTCTTTCTTCCTCTTCATCATCTTCGTGGTGTACACCATGCTGCCCTTCAACACGCGGGATGCTGTCGTCGCGGGCACCCTCACCTCCGCCTCGCACACCATCACGCTCAGCGTCTGCCTGTCTGCGAAGCCGGAGGCCAGGGAGCACCTGGTCTGGCAGGTGGGTGTCCCTGTGCCGGCCGTGATGACACTGGCTCCCTGTGGGCGCATGCGGGGTGGTGTGGTACCTGGAAGCTCGCTCCCTGTCTGCCGTGGGGGTGGCACTGAGTGACCATCCCACAGCAGCACTACCCCACCTCCTCCGTGGGACAGCGGTGACAGCACCGACGTGGGACACAGTCATCCATTTGCTGAGCGCCGCATGGTGCTATGATTTGATGGTCAAAAGCTGTCCTTCCTGCTCATTGCAATCGAACACTCAGGTTTACAGGGAGATAACTGGGCAGTCAGTGCGTAACTGCTCTTCGCAGAGGACAGCACGCCTGTCCTCCTCGGAGCGCCCTGTGCGCCCGGGGCACGGTTCAACAGGACTCCTTTAAAATGCTGCAGCAGCAAAGTTGGCTTTGCTGGTAAACACCATCCTAAGAAGCCATTGTGCTTAATTAGTCAAAAGCCTTTCAAAAGTGATTCAACTTCCTGCAATAACATTGCTGGCGGTGTCGGGAGTTATTCCTGAAGGTCTTTTTACTGTAAAAAGTGCGTTTGTTTTTCTCTCCTGGAATAAAATGCCCACATACCACCTTAGTATGAACGCAGATGCTTGGTGTGAAGCAGGGGAAAGGCAGTGACAAACACACCTGTCAGAAGGGGTCACCGGGTCACCTGGGCCCCCAGAGCCGTCGGAAGGGGTCTCTGGGATACTAGGGCCAGTGGTGCCATCGGAAGGGGTCACCAGGTCACCTGGGCCCCCAGTGCTGTCGGAAGGGGTCTCTGGGTCCCCCGGGCCTATGCCGCTGTTGGAAGGGATAACCAGGTCACCTGGGCCTGTGGGTCTGAGCAACCACGTGTGGTTCACCTGGTGTAGAACCAGCTGCTTTCCCTGCGGCCTGTGGACATCTCTCTTCATTTGAAAGTTTGCTGGGGCCGCCCCGCGTCCGCGTCCCCTGGAGGTGCTCCCAGCACCACTTTGGCTGGAGAGGCTGGGAAACGGGCCCTTACTCAGCCTTATCCACACTTGGCAAGGCTGGACACTTGCCCCTAGCGCACACAGGGAGCCAACGTTCACCTTGTCTGTTTGGGGTTTGTTAAGGGGTGTGCACCTGGGAAGTGAGGGCACCGTCCCTCCTCTGGGGCTCCCTTTGGTTGAGCAGCATACACACACCAGCCATCTGTGTCACCCGAGACTCACGGGGACCACATAGTGACTCACCCAATGACAGAAGGATGTTTGAAGAAGGGACACCCCCAAGCTGTGCTGGGGAGAATGGAAGGATGCCCAGCTCTGCCTGCTCTTTTCCTCCCCTCAGGGCTTCCCTGAGGGTATTTATGGGGCGTTACCCAATTCACCTCTAAACTTCTCGCATCCCCTTTCCTCGGGTCAGGCGGTGGTCTCCCAGGGAAGGGTGGAGGGCAGGCCCCTCACTGGCACGAGAGCACGGTTGGGGCAGCGTGACGGTGGAGGGTCCAGGGTTTGGGCCATTGCTCTGCCCTCGGGAAGGTGGCCTCTGTTCTTGGTTTCTGAGGGGCAACCCTCGAGTGACTGGACACCTTGGGCTGGCATGTCCGGCCACTCCTGCAGATATGTGCTGACGAGTGGTGGCCGTCCAGGGCAGAAGAACCAGGAAAGTCACCTCAGGAGGCTGGTGGCCTCTCATGCAGGACTGGCCGACAGACACCCAGTGAGCTTCCTGGTCACCCTCTGAGACATGGGAGCTCTGTGTTGGGAGCATGCTCAGACCTCACTGTGTGGTTTCCTCGTGACGGTCCTGACGTGGATCCTTTGGCTGTAATAAATCTAGAATCATAAAGGTGTACTTTCTGTGAGTTCTGCACAGGCAACCGTCAGAGATAGTGCAGGTTCAGTTCCAGACCGCCGTGGCACAGTGAGGACTGCGGCCCAGCAAGGACCACCAGTTCTGGGGTTTCCCTGAGCCTATACAAGCTGTGATCACACTAAACTGTCATCTATGAAGTGTGCAATAGCATTAGCAGAAGTTGGAAGTTGTAGGAGAATGACCAGAGTGGGACACAGAGACACGAAGGGAGCGCACACTGTTGGAAAGTGGCACCACTGGGCTTGCTTGACACGGGGCTGCTATGGGCCTTCAATTTGTAAAACCTAGTGTCTGCGGAGCACGATATGGTGCGGTGTGCCTGTCCGTCATTCCAGAAAATTATCAAACCTCAGGGCAGGGGGTGTGGAGCAGCAGATGGAAGGGAGGGAACCCCGGGCAGGCCCCCCAGCTTGTGATTGGCATCCTGATGGGACAGTAAGAAAATCCCAAATTTGTAGCCACCCTGGCAGAAGTTAGGGGTATCATGTGGACCCACAAGCTTGTAACTGGCACTTGCCTGTTTGGTCACCATACGGACAGCATCCTCTCCACTTGTGAGCTCTGACCCAGCTCTGGGTGGCTGGAGGCAGAGATGAGGGGAGTGGAGAGCGAGGATTTCATCAGCCTTAACCGTCTGGGGACTGGATTTATGGAGACACTTATCAAGGATGCTGGCCAGTCCTCCTCACGTGAGCAAGCAGGACTTCAGACATCATGGCTCCCAGCACCCTCACAGTTTTGGGGTTACCCTGAACACAACCCCTGAACATTTTGTATGTACCTCGTTCCATCCATGAATAAATACTGCCCCTGCTGGTGCAGATGTCTCGGAAGGAAATCCCTGGACAGTGAGGGTGATGATGGCTGCCTGTGAGGATGAAGTGGGGTTTAAGGGGAAGTGATGAAGAGTGTGTGCTCTGCAGAGCCTCCACGTTCCCGGTCATCCAGCCCCATGCTCAATTCTCTTTTGTTGTTTTAAAGTGCTTCCCCTTTCTTAGATTCATAGAAAAGTTCAGGTGAAAATGCAACGTTACATTTGTCTGTACTGTATTCCAGAACCAATAAAGATAAAGACTTATCAGTGGACAATCATGGATAGAATCAGTGTGGGAGAGCTTGGGCAAGAAAAACTCCTCATTTTATAGGGTTTTGTGTAACAATGTGGAAAGGACTAGGACATCAGGTCAGTCTCCTATCCATTACAAGTACTTCCCTGGTGATCTGCAGAGCTGGGAAGGGTAGCGTGCCGAGAAACACCAGTGCAGGCCTGGGGGTGAGCACCGGACTCAGGAGAGAATAGCTTGAAGGATCTTTGTCTGCTGCTGGAAATACAGCCAACACTGGCACCGGCTTGCGATGCTAGAAAACAGCCCTTGAGTTCCTTTTGTCCACAGCACACGTAAGCTAGAATTCTGCGGGTCGGGGGTTGTGAGGCTCGCGTACCGGTGTGCAGAGCACAGCTTTTAGACATAAAAGCTGTTGTCTGATAGAGGTGGCCCATCACGGGGATTAGTATCACCCACCTTTTAAACATCAACAAAGATGGCAGTGCACTCAGCACGAACCTGTATCAGGTAGTGTTCTTTCGCTTTCTTTCTTTGAGAATTGACAGTCCACTATACTGTGTAGTGCTTGTCTGTTAGCCAAAATGTGGACTCTATGGAAAACCTCATCCCACTTCCATGCTGGGTAACAGAGTGCATTTTCCCCAGAAATCTCATTTCACCAGCGTCTTCCTTAAAGTAGAATTCTTTCTCAGGCTGTGACACATCGCCTGGTTGAGAAAATCTTCTTAATAACTGACAACTACAGATGGCATTCCTGTTTGGTTTTAACATTTTACTGGAGAATTTTGTTGTTGTTAGGTGCTGGTGAGTCTGCGCCCACTCACAGTGACCCCATGCACAACACAGTGAAGCACTGCCCAGTCCTGCACCGTCCTCACAATTGTCGCCAGGCTTGAGCACGTGGTCGCGGCCACTGTGTCAGTCCATCTCGTTGAGGGTCTTCCCTTGCCTCACGGGCCCTCTGCTTTACCAAGCATGATGTCCTTCTCCAGGGACTGGTCCCTGCCAATAACCTGACCAAAGTCTGACACACAACTCGCCATTCTCACTTCTAAGGAGCATTCTGATTGTACTGTTTCCAAGACAGGTTTGTTTGTTCTTCTGGCATTCCATGGTGTATCCAGTGTTCTTCATGAACAACTCAATGCAAAGGCCTCAGTTCTTCTGTGGACGTCCATCATTCGCTGTCCAGCTTTCACATGCATATGGGGTGACTGAGAAGAAAACGGCTTGGGTCATGTTTGCTTTCTAACACTTTAAAATGGGTCTTTTGTAGCAGATTTGCCCAATGCAATGCATCCTTTGATCTCTTGACTGCAGCATCCGTGGATGTTGATTGTGGATCCAACTAAAATGAAATCCTTGAGAACTTTAATCTTTTCTCCATTTATCACGATGCTGCTTATTGGTTCAGTTGTGAGGAGTTTTGTTTTCTTTAGGTTGAGGTGTAGTCCACACTGCAGACTACAGTCTTTGACTTTTATCACTAAATGCTTCAAGTCATCCTCACTTTCAGCAAGGAAGGTTGTGTCATCTGCATATCACAGGTTGTTAATGAGTCTTGTTCCAATCCTGATGCCACGTTCTTCTTTGTAGAGTCTAGCATCTCAGATTATTTGCTCCCTATACAGATTGAATAACTATGATGAAAGGCTACAACCCTGACCCACACCCTTCTTGATTTTAAACCATGCAGTTTTTCCTTGTTCTGTTCAAACAGCAGCCTCCTGGTCTATGTACACGTTCGTCATGAGCACCAGGAAGTATTCTGGAATTCCCATTCTTCATAATGTCGTCCATAATTTGTTATGATCCACACAGTTGGATGTCTTTGCATAGTCAATAAAGCACAAGCAAACGTCTTTCTGGCATTCTTTGCTTTCAGCCAAGATCCATCTGACATCAGCAGTGATATCCCTTGATCTAAATCATCTTCTGAAACTGGCTTGAATTTCTGGCATTTTCCTGTTGATGTACTACTGCACCCCTTTTTGAATTATGTTCAGTAGAATTTTAGTTGTATATGATATTTGATAATTTCTGCATTCTCTTATATCACCTTTCTTTGGGATGGGTACAAGTTTTGATCCTTTCCAGTT